CATATGCTTATAATACACGTGAAATAGATCCCATCTGCCTGAAATAGATTATATAATATATCAAAAATTATGACTATTTAAATTTTAATGTATAATAATGATAATGATTAGTAAATTTTGGATAAACCACTGTCTCCTGAAAGGAAGATGCTTTGTATCTGAAGTGCTGTTGACTTTTTCTTAATAAATATATATAAAATTGCTAAGCTACTGTTGAAGTGCTGTTGGCAAGTTAAATCTTTAATAAACTCAGTCTTAATCTCTATGATTAGGGGAACCATTACAGAATGATCACGAAAAATTTTATTAAATTCTTATATATGATCAGAGAAATGATCACAGAATATCGCAGTTTAATCAGCAGAAGTTAATAATTCATAGATTTACTCATAATTTGATACCTATGATTAGTACCTATGACTTATAAACAGTTAATACGTAGAACATAGTTGCATTAAAATAATGCACATATATATTTACAAGTATTTTTGAAAACAAAACTGTATTTTCGAATATTCACAGCTCAGTATATATTATGATGCTTATTCTAAATTTGTAGTGCTAAATATATCAAAATTTCAGTCTCAAAAATTGTGATGCGTATTGATTGAATATCTAACATGGGCTTTATTCATCATGTAAAATTAGAAAAAAATATTTCTGATATACAACTAGGTATATAAATATTTATAGATTATTAAATAATCTACCCTTTAAAAACAAATATGAGGCTAACAAACTACGTAGCAATATAGATGACCTGAATTAATTATTATATATAGCAGATAAAGCAATAGTATCTCTGTATATAAATCTTTTTTTCATTTTATAACTAAAATTTTTTACTGATATTCTATTTTTTTCACTAGATTGCCTTTATGTCGATAAGACAATCACTCAAGTTATTTGCATAGGTTCATGGAATTCAACAGAGCCATGATAGTCTTGTGCTTTAATGAAGATGTTTTATCTGGTCTATGAAAATACACAACCTAACTGTACCTTTAATATATAGTCTTCTCAGGTGTAGTTATAGCCTTTCAAGGTAGGTCCAGGATCTGACTATTACCTCCCTGCAATTTACTTCTTCTTTCAATAAATCATGCAAAAAATTTCATCTCTATTAAGCGATTAGGCCTCTGGCTTGGTTTTTTCATATTTACAAAAACCCAATTTTAGAGGGTATAATCGTCACTATTATTGTCTACGTAGTAAGGAGAGGAAGACTGAATGAGCTTCTTGTAGTTTAGTCCTCTGAGCTATGAGATAAGAAATAGTTTGAATATATCCACCTTATTTTTTATTTATTATACTTCTTTCTGGAATAGTTATGCAAAAAATTTTGTCTAACTTTAGACGATAGGGCCTTTAACTTCATATATCTAATTGATATTCATTTATTACAATACCTCTCGCAAAAATTGAATTCAAAATTAAGGAAATATTAAGTTGATAAAATCTAATAGGTTTATAAACTGTATAATCGTTAAAAAAATTATTGTTGAATAATCCCAAATATGTCAGGTTTTAGTATTTCTATTATTATTAACAAAAAAGATAGAACACTACTTAAACCCTTTAACAACTGTCTTGAGTATGATATGAGGTATGTGCAATTATATGTTTTAAATTATTGTGGTTATAGTGATGAACAACTTGAACGACTTTATGTAACTGAAAAATTATATGACAACTTGTCTATCATAAGAAAGAATAAAAATCTTATTCAATAGGCAGTGTGAGTTAGAATTGATTTTCAAGATTTGTTACTCCAACAAAAATTTAGTATATATCACTGATCCTACTTATTCGCTTCTTATCCTGGAGATAAGTTAGAAAATTTTAATTACTATCGCCCAAAACTATTCAAGAATAGGACTGCAAATTGCTTTAGGTATTGGAAGGTAATTCGTGTTAATATCAATGTAAAGCTGAAGAAGAAGTACTATTTCTCAAGAGGTAGATATGTAGAAATTCTTGAACCTAAAGACCTGATGCAAGAACATTGGGATTATGATTGTAATAAACCAAAAACTAGAGATAGTTTGACAAGAATTATTCAAAATATTTGGAGATGATTTCAAGAAAGAGTACCATCGAATGCATGACTTGCTTGGAACAGCTTAGCAAATAATAATACTCTGGATGATATAAAATTTTTAGGTTTAACAAGATGTGAAGTGAAAAATTCTCAGACTCAAGAACAATTTAATCAGTAGCGTACTAAATGGATTGAATTATATAAAAACAATCCTATGATATGCAGTTCCATTATTAATAGACAATATAAAGAATATTATATTCTAGATAATTAGATAGAATGCAAAAAGAGTCAATTGTGGATTAGATTCCAAAAGCGATTTTTAGAGATAGAAGTATAGTATTTATTCAATTTATTAATTCCTTGCGAGTACAAAATACCTATACTATTTATATAATATTTTTTGGCTGTGCTAGTTCTACTGATACTCTTGAAGATATAGATAGGTAGTTGTCTACTGTTTTTTTAAAGGCAGAGCTTCATTGCTTTGCAATAATGCTATTCTTGAAATTATAATTGAGAAATATATTATAAAATTTCTGAAATAGAAAATACCAATGTGAAATAAAAATTTATAAAGTAGGTTTAGCAGGTAATATGTTTTTTATTTTGCGCTTTTGCTATAACTCTATCTCTTTTTGCAAATCTAGTGAAGTATCAAACCTTAGCTGAATTGCAAGTAGATTATCCTCAGGCCTATTTAGATCAAATACAATAAATTCGCCTTTGCGTAAATAGCTGTTAATAACTATTGATACATTTTTTACATCATCTGTATATCTACGAATAATTTTAGAAACATTTTCATATGAACTACCAGAATTAAAAAGTACTAAGTAATTAGCATTTTCACGCATGAATGTAATGATTTTATGATATTTCTGTACCACAAATATACATGAAATATTTCGATATCACTTATTTCCAAAAAATTGGCCAATTCGATTTTGTATATATTCTAAAGCGAGACACAAATTCTCAAAAACAATTGCTATACTTCATTTAGGTAAAAATACTTTTACACTAGAGATTTTTTTTAGTAATATATAGCTAAATCGTATATTTTCATAGTAAGGTGCTTTCAGATCTTTTGAAATTATGCTATACATATATCTAACAAATGCCTATTTTGGCTTATCAGGATGATAACCACAAATTATTAAATTATCACAAGAAATATATCTCCTACTACCTTTTTTTCCTTTATATATGTATTTAGCTTTATTACCAAGAAAAAGATTTGTTAAGATATTAGTCTTACCTGATCCACTTTTTTCTGTAACTATCATTCTAAAGGGCCATGTTGGACTAGCTAGATGAGATTGACAATGAGATACAACATGATTATTAGCTTCGTCCATATCCATAAGGAATAGTTTCATAGGAAGTATTTTTGAATTTTTTTGCATGGCAGATTGGGAATCTATAACTCTGTTTTCTATATACTGGATAAAAATTTTCTTCTCCCTGATAATTCACTTCACTTTGTTCATTTATAGTCAGTTTATATATTGCAGAAAACAAATTACCAGAGATGGTCATACTGTGGGTATAATCTGGCTTCGAGTTCAAAGAACAAGAAGGCAGAGTTGGGCAAAAAATTTGCCTGTATATATACCATATAATTAATAATATTATCAAGACAAAAATAACAAACTTAATAGGAATAGTTTAATACTTATTAATCATGCTAGCATCTAATGCTATAATAGGTAATTCCTCATCCTTCTTATTGTAATATTATGAGATCTAATCAGAGTCACATTCTTTATCTCTTGAAATTGGTTTTCTGCATTGATTGGTTGTAATATATTATCTTTATTATTTTCGTTAATAATAGTTTCATCACTTACCTTAGAAGTAACCTCAGTATCGATTTTTGAAGATTCTAATATTGAAACAATTTTATTATTGGCATGAGTCAGTATATCAGTGCTAATTTTTTCGACTTCATTCATAATTTTTTTGTGTGCAAAATATTGACTAAGATTTTTGCTAGTTTCACTAACTGCAGAGATATTATTATTGCAAAGCAATTATTCTTCAGGTCTAAACTTTTATATATTTTTTTCACTATCTCTACCAACCACAGATATTGAAATATTCTCTGATTTTAGACGCTCAAGCTCACTGACCTTAGAATCTAATTCAATCTTTATATTTACCAATTCAGCTTTGAGAGACATTATCTCAGAATCTTTTTTTAATAAGTATTTCTGAGTTAAAGATAATTCTTCTTCCAATGACTTGATTCTAGATTGGAATGAATTTGCTTCTTCCAACTTACTATAATACTTGGCTTTATACTCAATAAGGTTGGTATTTTTGCTTTTCAACTCTTTAATTTCTTCTTTAAGTTGTTTTTTAATCAAATCATTTTGATTTTTGTCATTAATATACTGATTTAATTTTTTCTGGAGATGTAAAATCTTGTTATTTTTTTTCTCTAGCTCTTTAGTAATCATATCAGAATGCACTTCTGCAAGAGCTTTAGCATTTCTAAATTCAGAACATTTATTAGCAAAAAATTCAGTTTCAAGAAGCAACTTATTGTATTGAGATTCAAGTTCACGTTCTCTACTACTATCTAATTTATATCCATATTCTTGAAAATTTTTGTTATCAGTAGATTTATTATACAAAGTATGTATTGGTGCCATATAATTGAAGAGAATTATGTTCAAAGAAAAAAAACTATTCGCAATTTGACTTTTTACTAGTTATGAATAAAAAGGAACTCAAATAATAATTAGTATTTAACCAGGCAATAATTAGGCAGAAGTTAGTAATTAGCTGAGCAAAAATTGATACTTAGCTAGGTATAAAATAATAATTAACTAGTTTTATATGAAAATAGATCTATAATCAAGTCAGTACTAATTATTTCTCAGTTTTTGTCTGATTTGTGTCTGATTATTACCTGATTATTACTCAGTTTTTATCTAATTATATACTAGAAATGAATAGATATTTTCCTAGATTTAAATTAGATATTTTTTTAATATCAATATATATTTTTCTAAAATGGTTAAAACCAAAGTTAGATCTCGAGTTTAACAATATCTTAACCTCACTACTACTCTATTAACTCCTGAAGCAATCGAAAAAATAAGGAATGCTCATGCAAAACAAATACCAAATAGAAAACACATTATATATGCTAATTATAAAATTAGAAGTAAAAGATATGATAATATTGTAAATGGCCGAATATATCCTCAACCATCTGAAATAGAAATAACATTTATGAATTTATCTATCTCAATACCTCAACTAGAAATTTTGCCCATACATAGCTTATCAAGTGCTAGAAATCCTGAGCAAGTAATTTCTTTAAGCAAACCAGCAACAAAAAAGACTAGCAGAAAATCAGAATCAAAAACTATAAATCATTCTATCTCATCAATACCAGGAAGTGATGTGCAAGCTAGAATAGAAAATTTATGAGAATATAAAAAACAGCTTCAAGCTGAATCTTGAAATCATATCAATTTCTTTTTAAGATATTCTGCGTAATCAAGAGCTCTAATAAATTTCTTTTTAATAGTTGCTTTATTTTCAAGATTTTTTATACCTGATATGATTTGAATCTTGGAATAGAATTCTAGTCTGAGAAAGAAATCAATTTGTTTGTTAGAATCTATTATGTTTTTTTTTTAGATCTTTAGTGAATGAATCAAAGACTTGGAACTCTTTTTCTTCATTAGATGCTAGCTTCTCTTTAGTATCGATCTTAGTAGAAGAATCGAAAGTTTGATTTTTTGAATTATTATCCTGAATTACTGTTGTATAAAGGCTTGATAAAACATTATTCTTGATTGGCTTAGTAAAGGTTAGAATAATATAAGATTTTCCACAAACTATTATTCGAAATTCATGTTTGTTTGTATCTAGAAGTCCTTGAACTTTTTGAATTCATAGTGTTCCTAAACAAAGAAGGTAATCAGGTTTTCCATCATCAATAATAACAATATATCCTGTTTTAGTAACCTATTTATTTTTATATTTTATAGATATTGGTACATCCTTATGTACTCTTTCTAATTTCATTATATGATCAGAATTATGTCTAAGGGAAAAATTTGGTACTATCTCAAGATTCCATCCTAATGCCTCATTTAGTGCTTTATTCATAACAAGACATCCTGATGCTATATCAACAAACCTATCTGAAATAATTATATCTTCAATTCTACACTACATATATTCAAATAATTCAGCCTATTTATTTTTTGTAGATAGGTTAATAATTTTTTTTCGCATTGCTGAAGATAATAATTCTAATAACTGGTCATCCAATTCTGAAAAAAGGTTTAACATAGTAACTTTTTCATTTTGTTTAGATTCTGTAACTAAAGATTTGCATGAAATTACTGATTTATTCTATGATGTCTTACTTATTATTAGTGATATCTATTTTTTTTTCTAAATAGGATAGAGGAGCATGCTATTGATTATCTTCTTTATTATACCCACCTTCATCCTCCTCGCTATCATTTGAATTAGGAGGTATGTATTGGGGATATATTGGCTTAAGAGATGTAAAATATGATCGAGTATAATTAGATTAGACTGTAGGTTGATTGAGGCATTTGCCTTTGCTATAGCCTGTTTCTCCACAAATTCCACATTTCTTTATATACACTTTTTTCTGTAATTAGTCTGCTAACTGATTTATAGTATCTCAAGTTTTATTAAGCCCTTCTTTTATTCTATCCATTCTGACAGATTGGTTAAATCTTTGTAGTTTTTTATATAAGGCTTTTGCTTGCTCGAGGTATTTAAGGTAATCTGAATTTTGAAAAAGTGGATCCATATTATTACCTTCTTGATCTACTATATAAAATACTTGCTAAAGTTTTTCTGATTTTATAGAATAAAACTTAGGTGGGGGTTAAAAATTTCTTACTATTGCAACTTGTGGTTGTTGTGCTTGAAGTTTAGCCTTTAATTTTTCTATCTCAGCTTTAGATTTAGCTTACTGTTTTGCAAATACATCCTAAATTATTTTTTGTATATTAGCTATGGGAAATGCTAGTTGTTGAGGTATAATATTTGGAATAGCAGGAGCAATAGGTGTATGGCGAGGTTGAGATAGTATCTGTTGTAATATTCTATGACATAATTCAAGTTCTGACAAACTATCAATAATATCGTTAATGGGTTTTGTTTGACTAATTTTATAAATTTCATCGCTAATATCAGGTCTAACTCCAGATAAGAAATAGGTTTTCTTCTGTGCTAGAGTATAACCCAGTTGATCACCATATTTCTGAATTTTTGCTTAGAATAAAGATACACTCTCATATACGCCTTGTCTTAATACTCCAATTTCTAACATCTTTATATATTTATTAGCAGTTGGATAATATTTTTTTATCTACGAAAGCCTTTGTTTAGATTGTATTCCTGCTAGAATAATAGGAACACCTTTTCTAGTATTTGGTGCAACTGGTACTGCATTAGTTGGGCATTTTCCTGCTATTGTCCAATCTTCAGCAACATTTCGAGCAGGGATAATTTGTACATTTGTAAGTCTAAGTAAAACATTTGGGAAAGAAGCGACTGCACTCATTATACCTCCTGTATTAGCACCACGAATATGTGCTATTGTTGCATCTATACCAGAGTTATCAAGTACATTTTCTAACTCTCAATTTTTATTATCAAATTCTCTATGATACCATTCTCTTGCTTCTCCTTTTAAGGATTGATCTAATATAGTGAGAATATTTGCATCATTATTTACTCCAGCTAAGGTAATATATGATATGAACCTATCTACAAAATCTTCATGATTTTCTTCACCACCATAGAATTCTGGTTATACAAATCTTACAGATAATGCTATCAGTTGATTTTGCTGATTATTTACTAATGCAAAATTTTGTTGCTGTAAATTTAAAATATTCTGATTTTGATTCAGAATTATTTGGCATTCATCTTTAGTCTTATTCTTCCATTTTTTATACTGATCATATAGTCGATCTTGCCAAAATTCATCAAGAGCTCTTTCATTTCGACAGTTCTGTATTTGTATATGCTCATTCTTAGTTTTATTCTTCTATTTTATATATCTATCATATATTCAGTCTCGCCAATATTCATTAAATACTCATTCATTTTCTAATTGCTGCAATGCCTGATCTCGCTTCTGCTTATATATATCACGATTCCACTATTCATTTACCAGATCTTGTTGCAGGTTAGCATATTTACGTCGAATTGATCTTGTTGATCTTTTAATTTGATTTGTTAAAATGGTTTTACATATTGTTGTATCATTTAAGGATCTGTCTATAGCATCGGCCAATTCAGCTATTGTGCCTATATCTAAATCAAAAGTATAATTATCTTGAGAATTTTCATTAGAATTAGATTCATCTTTATTATAATTCCATGCTTGTGCATTTTCTAATACCTCTCATATATTTATAAGCTCTAATCTATTTCGATATCTTAATAATGCTAATGCAAAATTTTGATAAAGCAGGTCTGTAATACGATTTTTTTGCTGATTTATTTTATTAATCCTATTTATTTAATTTACTCTTATTATATTTATTTTCATTTAAGGCGTTCGTTTTTGTCTACTAATCTGGTTGTATAATTTTGCATCTTAGGGGTATTACCTGCAGATTTTAATATTTCCCATATATGATTTTTTAATTTTGTTTTACATTCATCGAATTCTGATATTAACTTATCCTTATTTGAGATTTCCTTGTTTTTCTGCTTGACAGCTGGATCTGCAAAGATTTTCTTATCTTCTTATGATTTTTTTACAGTTTCATTGGGTGATATGTATATTAACTTCGTAGGGGAATCATTATATTTATCATCGTTAATATGAAGGCTGACAACCCATTCTCTAGATCTATTAGTCAATAGTAAATATAAGTCCATAGCATTTTGGCGAAAAAAGACATGCTTTTCAAATTCTTGGTGATCTTACTCAGCGATAGCCATACTTTGTTTAGATTTAGCATACTGAATTCTCACACCATGTCTGAGAAATAAATCCCTACACTCACCTATATATTCAGTTCCTTTATCTATGATTAAAACTTTTGGCTAGCTAAGTAGATAATTTGGATTATCATAAATTTTCTGAATCTTTTTAGCTATTTACGTAGCTGTTTTATCAGTTAAAGCGAAACTGCGCCAATATCTAGTTGTAATATCCTTTATTACTTCTCGGTATTTATAAGTTTGATTACAAACTTTATCGTGAGGCATAAGTGTAGCATCAGACTAGTGTACTTTATTCAATGTTCGTATATTGTTAAAAGAAGCATATTGGATAAATTTTGGTTGAGGCTTATGGATCTGATATAAGGCCTGTTTGTTAAGCCAATTTTTTATTATAGCCAAAGTGAACTCATATCCTGCCTTCTTACAAGCATCCTGCATTTTTTTAGCTATCCGATAATAACCTTCAGACTTATAATAAATTTTTTGCAAAGTAATCTCCCTATCCAAATCACAGACCCTTTGTGGGTCAATATAAATTACGGGTTTCTCCATTCCTTTGTTTTATTATAGTAATAAAAAACATGAAGGAGTTACAACAAACTAACTAAGAACTCTATGAGGTAGTATCGCAATTAGCTGAATCAAATAGAAATTTTGAACAATGTCTATATACCTTAGAAAGAGTTATTGGTATACAAGAAGAAAGGATATGATATCTTGAAGAAGAGTTAAATAATGCTATCGAACTATCTGCATAAAACAAAAAAGAATTATTAGAAGAAATCTCAAAACTAAAATGGGCACTAAGAGGAAACTCTCATGTAAAAAAAATATATGAGGAGTTTTCTAAGGAAAACCTATGGTATATACTAATTTTTAGCTGTGAGAAAGGTTTTGAAGATGCGCAAAAAAGATTAGCAGAAAGAAAAGAAGAATATGAATAGTTTAGATTAATAAAGGAAGAGAAAAATCTAGAAGCAAATCACTCAAGTATAACAGAAATTAATAACCAAAACAGAAAAGAAAACAAGAGAGGTAAAAGTAATGCTGAGCAATCAGTCGAGAAGATAAGTCTTTTAAAATCAAAAGTAATTCCCAAAGAAGAAAGAAAAGAGAATTATACTACGCATGAAGGAATAAGAAAAAGAGAAGAGAAAGCAAGACCTGAATTAGAAAAGCAAGCAAGATTAGAACTAGAAGATATATACAGACACAGAAGTAGAAATAAAAATGCTAATATTTATGAAAGCAAAAGTGATGAATTGCCTACTAGAAGACAAGTAACCCCTTTGAAGAAGTCAAAAACGAGCTAAACAAGATTACTATATGGGACTTATCTAATGGAACGAAGAGATCTCAAATCTTTGAAATGGTACGACGTATAGGAAGAATTGAGTATATTGAAATAATAAGCAGTTCTATGGGTAGAACCAGAGCCGTAGTAGAATTCAAAAAAAATATATACAACAAAA